TGGCTTTGACTAATTAGTATATATGTTATATTACTGTATTAGAAACGAAATTGCCTATATTTACTTTATATCTTATCGTTTCTGTCCTTACAAAAATTAGTAATATTAATAATCCAAAAGTTTAAATGTAAATAATTTCAAATTGATAAACTCTTTATTCTCTTTGCCGTTTACGTAATGCTTTGCAATTTATTAATTTAGCGCCATTTAACGTACAGAGACCACAATTACTGAATTAATGTTAGTAATTTATAACATCAAATGTGGTTTGATTTGAATACAGTATGATGACTAAAAAAAAAAACTGCAAGTATACATATTTATCGATGATGTACGCAAATTCGTAAATTATTACTGTCCAACCAAAATATTCCATTATTTAAATGATTAATTACGTGCCATTTTTTTTCTACGCACTTATTCCATTAACAAAGAGCCTTTGTTTTCTAAATTCATTGTCGGTTATACAAAAAGAGTAATAAGTTAAATGATTTGGCGCATGATGATCTTTGTGTTGCTTTCACAAAGATTCTTTCAAATCTAACATGTAACAAAAATTTTCAAACAAAGGCATGTGCATATCAATACGTACGCACGATTTAACGCCCATTCATATTAAAAAAAATGCTTCTCGTACAAAGTGCACGTTTTGAGCACTACGTTCCATTGATCTTACCATGCATTAAGAATATCGATAAATGATATATAAGTGTCATGGTTTCTCTCCTTGCTCCTCATTTTTCTTTTGAATAATTTATCATATCGTTAATCAAAAAGAAAATTCAGGTGCTTATTTAACTGCTTTAAACCAAAAAAAAAAACTTTCAAGAAACTCTTCAAACACTTTTCAATAAACTAGAGTTTTAGAAAGTTAGCTCTGGCAGCTTACGATAAACTTGATTATCTACATATATCATATATCAGTTTAAAGAGACACCTGTGTTTCCTTTTTTTTTCAATCCTTTCAGAATTTACGAATTTTCCTTTACCACATTTTTACCTCGCATTTTTTTTCCTTTCATGATATTATTCAAAATGAAAAAATTATTAATCGTACTCATCTTCTTAATATACAGTAAGTAATAAAGGCCAATAAAAACTAGATTTTCTTTATTTGTATTCAATTATCATATCGATATTAACATTATAAAATTCTTAACATTCTTGAAATTCAGTTGCAATATACACCACTGCATTGCCAATCATACCAATTGACCAGCCAGATTTGTCTGAGACCAGTAAAAGTTCTCAAAACGGTATATCAAGTGATCCAACAATTGTATCAGAAAGAGATGCTTTTGAAAAAAGAGAACCGATAGATTTTACATCTTTCAATCCGGCAAGAGATAATATCCGGTGATGCGATAAAATACATTATATTTTAAATTTCATATTTTATCGATATACCTCAAAAAAATCCATAAAAAAAAAAAATCATATTATTGCATTTGTATATTCATTATTCATTTCACATTTTGTAAATTCATTAATACACTCATTTCTCTTATTCATCCACCCATTCACTCATTTACATTTAGCATCTTTTATATAGAATTTTCAAAAATTTCATAGACTTTGATTTTGTATTTACTGTTTGTATTCGTGTATATTCCAGCATACATATGTAGCTGTTTTAATTTAAAAAGTTTTTTCAAATCTATCTTTTTTCAATTTACAGTTATTAATTTCTTTTAAAAGTTTTCATTTTTAAGTGCGTAAGAATCATACGTTTGTCGCGGAGGACCTAATAAGTGCAATGGTCCAAATATTGTGTGATTATGTCCATACTTATTTTTTTAGACTAGCGTTAGATATCCTAATTCGTCCGTTCTATTTTTTGGCTAGCCGTCTTAACGTTAATAAATGATCTTTAGCTCCAGATATTTAGCATTTAGACAGTCTTTTTTTTATTTTGTAATAATAAAGTACAGTAGCATTAAACGAATGGTATTTTAGTTATAAAGTAATTATATAATCGAATATACTATCTAGCGTTAGATTCTGTCATGGTTACAGATCACGTAATTTTAATCTGATGATGATTCTACATCTAATAAACCTCGCGCATATTTTCACTCTCGATTGGTATCTTGTTAGTCTTAAATGTTTGATTGGAGTTATGATAATCTAAAATTTAACGGTTTTCTAAACAAAAAAAAACAAACTAACCATACATACCCTGAACACCTGTTGTTCATTTTAGGCTTAATCACATCTTCTGATTGATCATGTGCAAAGACGGTGAATTAAATATCTATACATCTTGTATTCTGTTCACCTAAAACTACCTAGTCTGTCACTATGTACTTAAATTGTCTAGGTCGTATTAAATTTGTCAGCCCGGATAAGCTACAAATTCTTGATTAACTATACTGTAATCACCATATCTTGGTATACATTTACCCTCAAGCATATCGATTAAATTAGTGTACTTAGAATTTACAGTATTTTGAAATTTCATGTAAAAATTTTAAAATTCAAGCCTTTAAATGCACATGCTTGATATCATTAGCCTTATAGACACAAGTCAAAAAAAATTTTTTTTTGCTTCATCATAGACACTTGCACTGAATAATTGTTCCGTTAACTGAAAAATTGTTTGTTTTTAAAAACAACACGGGCTTGATAGAGTGATTTTTTGCCGGTTCGCACGTGCTGCCATCTTTGGACCTGATATTTATAACAAGTAATGATCTCGGACGGTCATTATTTATTTACAATGCAGCAATGACTAAGCTGATAAAATTTATTGATTGGCCGATCTAACGCTAATAAATTTTTAATTCGGAAAATTTGGCTCCGTATTTTATATAGTACGTACGTACGTACCTAGAAATTTTAGGAATAGGAATATCATAATCCTGGCTTTGGTCTTAATAAAAATCCGTCATTTAATTTTTTTTTTTACAAACTAATTGACCTCTGATTAACTTAGTCGACTTAACCGACTCGACTATAGCTGTAAAATTTATCCGTTGCATATGTTATAAGCGATCAAGGGTTAGTTGACTTAGCCTACTAAGTTGGTCGATTTTTTTGGAGAATCGACTTTAAACAGGGACATGGAATTATATGGCTTATTGTGATTTATACATCAATTAATGTAAAGTTCATAACTCTTAATATAATTGATTGTTATATTATTACGTGATCACATTTACGCTATAGAACTCCAAATCTAAAATACGTATCGATACTATAAGTGAATTCGAATTCTAGAATTTGTTTGCTTTTCTAGTCGACTAACACAAGGCAAATCAGATACAAATCGGGTGTCCGATTTTAAACTGATTATTGCCTGAATAATGATGATTTTTGTTGCTACAAAAATTGTCATTAATCAAGCAGTTAGCAATCAACTTAAAGTTAGCCACCCGATTTGTTCCTGATTTGCTATCTTTCGACCTGTGTAAGCAAATTTAAGCCGGTTTTTTTTATAACATTGACTTAGTCGGTCGGTAGTTGAGGTCTCGACTACTACTGCTAGAGATGTTAATGGCTGATCCAGTCCAATTCAATCTTAAAAATTGAACTAAAACCAGACCAAATATATATATAAAAAAAGATTAAACTAGGATTAAATATAAATCAATTGATCTAAATTATAACTAAATATACAAATAATTAGATTAAACTAGGATCAATATTCATATATAAAATTAAAAAAATGTGCAAGGGGTACATAAAAGAAATCAAACTAAAATGGACCAGTTTAAACAAATCTAATTTTGTAATAATCTAATTTATAACAATCCAATTTTATAACTGTTCGATTTATAATAATTCAATCTTATAACAATTCATTCTATAATAATCCAATTCTGTAACAATCATGATTTATTGTCCGTCGCTACGTTCCGGACACAATTTTTACGCATTATGTTACGTTTTGATGCATTTGACCATGAAAAATTCTTTTTTGATGCATCAACATAATTATCATAAACACGTGACGCGTGATTGCACATGGAAAGACATTCGTATGATTGACTGATTTAAATTTAGCACGGGACAGTGAATTTTTCACGCGGTAGCTATATAAAGAAATACATAACACGTAATTCTTTGTTTACACGTAAAAAAATGATGATAAACTTGCCAAACGAATGCCTATTCGAAATATTATACAATCTTAAGTACAATCGCGGGTGCTTATTTTCCTGTCTTAAAGTAAACCGAACATGGTGTAGAACTGTTATACCAATATTATGGAATGAAATAGATATTTCCAGCCCTGATGATTACAAGCTTATAAGCATATGCCTTTTAACATTGAATGAAAAAGAAAAATCTCTACTATTACCTTTTAATATAGTCATTCCAAATTATCCAAAACCATTATTTAAATATCCATCTTATGCTAAAACGTTTAGAATTTGCTCAAATGAAG